TGGTAAACTTCTCACTTTTTTCCTTATAGTTCTCGCAGCTGACGTGTTTTGACGACAGATGTCAGCACAGAAGGAAACTAAAGGCGTAGGTGGCGCTGTGTTAAGAGTAGAGCAGTTTGAATTGCTGCGATACCATTTTCGCTTAGGAAAATAGCAATTATTGATAAAAATGAAACATGTATTTTTGGGTGAGACTAAATGCTTACTTCGAAATCTAAGCTGCGTTGCGGCATTGGCGGTTGTGTGCGGCGTGTATGCCGCATGATTAGTAAGCGGCGACCACTAAATTAAAAACTCAATAGCTTTGACCTGTTTTCAATGGATAACACTGCATACCAAAAATGTCCATCGCTCTCGTCATAGGATTGACGAAGTTTTGACGAAGTTAACTATTGACGAAGTTTTACTGTAATGGGCCCAGCCATTGCTGAGTTACTTCATGTGGAACAATTCCGACACCCCTAAGTTGGCACGTGACACGTGCCGTAACATTAACTAAGATGAAGAAAATCGGGCGAAATTCGGAGAAGAAGGAATAAGCCTACCAAATATGTATGACATATTGTCAAACTGCTGTACCATTGTGAGTAAATGGCCATATAAAAGCTCGTACAAGCCGATGGGACTGGGCGTTTCAATACACACCGTCTTACACACTTTATTTTCGTTATTACCTAAAGGCTGCTTGACGTTTTTGGCTTTCAAGCATTTAAGACATTTTTTGTCGTCTCAGGTCCAGTAAAATTACCTCCAACTCGTGGGAATATGCACTTCGAGCCAACTAACACACCACACCCACGTGTGTCATAATGCTGAGAGATGGCGTTCACTCGGCTTGCTCCTAACTTACGATAATTCTCTCGCTAGATGGCAGGCCTGATCCCAATGTCGCGGATCCCAATGTTAATTTCCACGAGACACCAATCCAGTGTTATATCATCCATGTTAATACTCAGCCGCGAACGTATAAGGTATAACCCCTTGCCGTTTCGCTCCTGATCAAGTTAGAGCTTCGCGGAAAAAACGAGCGTGTTGCCCGTGACGAGAGAAAGCCGATGATACCCAATTTTAAGGTCCTAGGTCATCGGTTGACCTTCCAGGTCAGGTCAATGACCCAAAAGGCGGGAAAATTGGGACCTGTTAGAACGTCGTAGTGTGGCTGCTATGGGGTTTTTCGGGGCGCTGATCACGAATATCATGCTAGTTTTGATCACAGATGATGTCTTCATTCATTTAGGCCAGGTCGAGTTAGGTCAGGTCAGGTCAACCAGTAGAGGTCCTGCCAGGTATTTGTAGTAGGTGTCAACCGCCTCTGACAGCCTCGTAACATGTTACGAAGGCACCAAAACTACTTTGTAAACGTTCATGTGGTTGCTTAATTCGAATTCAGCTCGAAAAAAAAACTGACCTAGAAACATGTCAAACTCGAAAAAGTGAACCGAGGTCACCAAAGGTCAATGACCTGACCTGACCTTCAGGTGACCTTGACACCCACCCTAATGCATGGGGGCAACATCATATCACATGTTTGAACGCTTGAAACCACGAAAAGACTGCAAACGCGCTGCTAATGCGAGCCGACATACGCTGAATCGCGGTTCCGGCCAAACATGGTCTCGAGTTATTCGCGAAAAACCTTAGGGGGGTTGCATCAACCCCTCCCCCCCCCTGTGCGGGCGAGGTCATGTTTTGATAGCAAGACTGAAACAGACTTTTTTGGGTAGCCAGGAAATCGCATGCCAGAGCCTATTCAAATTCTTTTATCGGCCTTTATATGCACCAGTCGCATACAGGTACGGGATTTAGCATACGATTTCCAGACATTCGAAAGACTGTTTGGAGACAACAAAGGAAGGAATGAGTGAGTTAAGTTGAAAGTATTAATTTGGTTCAAAATGATGATGTAGATAACCTAGTTATTTAAAGCTGAATATCTTATGACGAGAGCGGTTGGCATTTTTGGTATGCAGTGTTATTAATTGAGAACCGGTCGGAGCGTTTGAGTCTTTAATTTAGTGGTCGCCGCTTACTAATCATGCGGCATACACGCCGCACATAACCGCCAATGCCGCAACGTAGCTTAGATTTCGAAGTAAGCATTTAGTCCCACCCGTATTTTTCAGTAGAAGAAATAATTTTTAATGAAAAAGAGCCTTACTATATGACACGATGTTTATCGATTTTAACAGTTCAAAGCACTTTAAATGGATATCCCTAAGGAGCATCTCTATAATGCCTCAGTGCTTCCGGTCCTTCCTTTCTCGAAAGCACTGCGACGGCTGCCGCAAGGCCCTATATGTCCGAGCGGCGCTGGTGTCAACACAGCTGAGTGCCGCGAGGTGAGGTGAGCCGTGAGGCGTGTTCGCCGAGACGGTCCGGCCACAGTGAAATAGTGAAATAGTGGTGTAATCGATAATATGCGTGGCCAGTACGCGAGTGAGATTGACCCTGTGCGCGACACCGATTCAGAGACGCACATAAGTTAACACCGTCGTGTCGGATCGCTCGTACCGGTGCAGTGATGGGAGACAACGAGCAGCTGGAGCGTCTGATGGCGCTCATGGTTCAGCAGTCAGCAGGCTGCCATGCTGGAGTAGCTCCTCCCCAGCCAGATGCAGCGTCCAGCTGCGCAAACTGTCTAGAGCGGCCAACCGGCTGTCGTCGCCTCCGCCGCTCCTATGGCTAGACTTCGGTCTCGCATGGACTCCCGTCGGTAGTGTTCACATGCCAGCCCATACATTTTACCTGTATTAACTTTTTAATGTCTGTGCCTGTGTAACTATTGTACGTGCCTGTACTTAACAGTGTTTGAATTGTACATCGTTCGCACAGTCTGTGGACCGTGGGGAGCGCCGCTTAACATGCATTTTTGCACTTACCTGCATTCCGTGTTAAAAGTAAAGTAAAGGGACTGAGCTGTCGTGCACCGGGAGATATTATGGTCTCTTGCTAAACGACTCAGTTGAAACTCAGCACGCCGGTCGGTACTGACTGGGGCGGCAAGCGAAAGGGTTTGGGCAGCTTTTGAAACAAAATGTTCGCATCGAATGACTGCATCGCATGTTCTGTTCCAGAGTGAGTTTTTTTTACATCTGACACAATAAATATACATGCCTGTTCTTTACCTTGTTTGTGCATGGAGGGAATGGGAAGGATCGACAACGTGGATGCTGTGCCATGAAAAGCTGGCGCTCTACAGGGAGGGTAGGGGGGGGGGGGAATGGGTCGTGAGCGCGAATGCCGTGCCAGGAAAGCCGGCGCTCTTAAGTTGTAAAGTTCTCGGAGACCATACAGGATCATATTATGAGCGGGAATTGTGTTCGTTTATGATCTCATGACCTGGTAAAGGTTCTCATGGGAGATCATCCCGCAGTATAAGAGTACCTTATCCGGGCAAAGTTCTCGTTCAAGATAGCACACCATTCTCACTCGAGAACGTTACGGGAAAAACCTGAGAACTTTACCAAACTGGAGACCAACAACTGTAAACAAAGTTCTCCCCAATTAAGGCTCTCATACAAGACCAGAACGACCCCTGCATGGTCTCCGAGAACCATGGATAGGCTTGAGTGTTTCTCAGTGCAGTGTGCGCAGCACGTATGGCATATAGGTAAATTGAAATGCATCAAATGATTTAGGTATGTACTATGCCACTAGATAAAATTATAAGCCACAGATTGATAATCACTTGTTTCTAGAGCAAACTAACGCGTGTCACACACTCTCCCCAAGCCTGACCCTGCTGACGTTTCTCGGCAGCTGTTCTCGGCGAGATCACCGTCCAGCCTCGGATGAGTATGACCGACATCGGGAACCTGCTGGACTCTGACGGAAACCTGCAGAACGAGCTGCTGGTGTTCGCGTTCGCCGCCACCCTGCTGGCAACCATACCCATCCTGCTCGGAAACGAGTTCGACGTCAACATCGGGCTCCGGAGGCGGCGAGAGGTCCTGGAGGGAGAGGAGCCAGCGCCCCTGCTGACATCTGGCGGCAGGCCGCTGCTGTCACCTGCAGAGGGCGCTGAACTGAGGGTTGCACCGACAGTGACTTTGGACCAGAAGAGAAGAAATCTAAGCAAAATCAATTCGATGGTTATTGGCATTAACAAACGAATGGCTAGAACAAATATTGTTATATAAGTGAGTCATTGTGTGACCTTTCAGTTTTTCGTTAATCTTGTCACTGTTGCCTGAGCCGTGTGGCAGTCGCACGTTCACAGGACAGTTGTTTAGGGCTGGTAGTTGACTGTTTGAGACAGCCGAGCTACGTCTGGCGAAGTTAGGTACAGAATCCGCATTTTTTGCATTTGAATTTGTTGATGTTCTAGCCATCGAGATTTTGAATACATAAAGTCCGGAAACAAAACCGGAAATGACACGTCATTATATTGAGTTATTTCGTACTTTTCATTACAACGAAAAATTGTTTTCATTACTTGGGAGTATTTACTTTAGAGGCCTATTCACATGAAAACATCAGAGTAAGTGGATCACAAACTGCAACTTCAACATCTTGCTTGAAAGCAGCCTGCGAGAACGGCTCTCCGGTCTTGCGAATAAATGCTTGCAATTACATACGCAGGATCCCAGAGAATAAAATGATCGGTCATCTTTGAGGCCTCGTTCATCTGCTTGCGTCACGAAATTGCATTGCATAGCAATCATGAATTCTTGCACTGCAATCCAAAGAAAAAGTTTCTAAATTTCTTGAGCCTTTCCAGTACGTATGTAGATAAATCATTGCAAATGATATTCTAACAATTGCACGTTCTTTTCTTTGTTATTTTACGATTGGCCCTAAATGTATAGAGTGATGAGGTTGAATGAAGCTATGTGAGGATTATTTTGCTTTGATTACTCACACTCTTGCTCACCCTTCCGACTTATGTGATGGTGTGAAGAAGTTCCGGAGGTTATTTTGATGCGTCGGCCGTCGAACGTAGCCTCACCAATTCCAAGACATTTTACGGACATAAGTAATTTCCAATACTGCCTCCTCTTTACACATGTCAGGAGATTCGTTTCGAATAGGTATAGAAAAATAGAAAAGTTATATCAAGTGTGGCGAAGATAACAGCCTGCACGTAGCCATGGAATCATTCCCGGAAACCCACCAGCTACCTCCAATGAACAAGGTGGGTCAACGCCGAACGGGGTGAACGTCGAGTCAACAACGGCGTGGGAAGCAAATCGTTTTTGATTATGGATTAGCTAGCACGTGACGCATGGCTGTGTTTTTATTGGACAACAGCCTGCCTTTCAATCGATGTCAAACAAACATACGTATTTAAATACGTACAAAGATAATACAAAATACAAAGCAAATACAAAGATAATTATCTTTGTAGATTGTCTATTGTTTAGGTAGATGGATTTTACCACAAATTTTGTATTTAATTATTTTTCATGCAATTATTTAGTCAGTTTGGTACATGCTAGTCGGTCATCACTTCAAAATATGTCATAACGTCAGCATTCAATCCGCGAATAACCATAGATTATTTTAGCCTTAGGTGTTTTAAGTTGAACGAAAAAAAGGACAAAGCGATCCATTGACCGTGACAATCTCTCATTATTCCCCGTCTCCCCCCCCCCCCCCCCACTCAGGTGCCGACAAGTGTGCGTCTGTGTGGCCGATACATGCGCGCCCTGCCTTGGATCTGCCTGCCAATGCTGGTGACCGGTATATCGATATTTATCCTGAGCCACCACTACCCGGGCTCTGTGCCCAGTCCTGAGCTCCTGACTGCACTGCAGACCGCTGGACCGGTCATACTGGGGCTGACAGGTGAGAGAAGGAGAGAGAAGAGAGGGGAGAGGAAAGGAGAGGAGAGTGAGAGAGAGAGAGAGAGAGAGAGAGAGAGAGAGAGAGAGAGAGAGAGAGAGAGAGAGAGAGAGAGAGAGAGAGAGAGAGAGAGAGAGAGAGAGAGAGAGAGAGAGAGAGAGAGAGAGAGAGGAGATCTGAGGATGTGATGGAAGAAGCGCTAGGAAAGAAATTAATAGCGGAATATAAACCATGGGTTTGTAGAGTTAAATACAGGAATATAGAGAAGCAAATAGGTGACTTAACCCGCGCCGGGCCGGGGGGGGGGGTGTTTGAACACCCCCCCTTGCGGTTTTTCGCAGATATCTCAAAAACGGCGGCGCGGAGCGCCGCCGTTTTTGGCACACCTGTTCGTGCATCTTTTCCGCACATGTTGTGAAAATTTCAGACCCAGGTCACCTTAGGTCAGGTCACCAGGTCACGCCAAGTGACCTCACCTCAGAAAAAATAAGAATGCTCGTCATAGCTACACCGACTGAACGATTGCCTTGAAACTTTCAGCGATTGATTAGAGCAACACTATCTATAAAATGTATATCTCGGAATTTTGATATCGGTGACCTAAGGTCAGGTCAATTTTGCGGCCTCTCCATTATAAGTCAATGGGAGAAAATTGAAAAGCGCCTGTTTTGCACGAACGCTATTCTAGACACTCTCAAACATCGAGATGTAGGTAAAATAGACACACTGAACCAGAAAATGGCAACTGTGACCCCTCGTTATGTCCCCGAGGTCATCTCAGGTCACGAACAGAATCTAACAGTTTTTCGATGATAACTTCTGATAGAGGCGTGCTAGAGCGCTGAAAACGCCTTAGATGTGTTCGGCTCGACGTTGCGGATCGACTGATATGCAACATGACCTTTTCCGGTCAGGTCATGACCTTGACCTGAGGTCAAATTTTCAAGTTGACCTTTCAAGGTCAAATTATAGTTCATTCGACGCGTCTCGACGAGAGGAACACGATGCTGGCAAAAGTAATGTCATAGCTCTTTTGAGTCAAAAGTTATTGCCGAAAAAACGTTTTTCGTAAAAACGGCTATTTTTGGAGTTTTTGCCTTCTGGAGGCTAAACCGTTGACCTGAGGTCAAATCTGAGAGCATTACTCAGAAAGGTCTGTAAAAGGGCTATCGAATGCGCTTTTCTGCGGCGCTGTAGCTCTATCGGTTCCCGAGATAGTCGTTGGCAGTTTCCAAAATGTTGAAATAGTGAACATTTGACCTTTGGTGACCTCTGGTGACCTGACCTTTGACCTGACCCAAAAAATGACCGAAGTGTTTTCTTCCTTATTTTGGACGTTCTTTCGATTGCCGCTTACCGCGTGTCGCTACGTGGCCCAGGAGCCGAGTTAGAAGGGGGGGTGTTCAAACACCCCCCGCGGCCCGGCGCGGAATTTCAGAGCACCGGCCCGGCGCGGGTTAATGAAAAGAAGATCATAATTGAGAAGTCCAAGATGCTAGTTGCGCGGTAAAGGATGACAATGTGCAAAAACGGGCTGCCGGATGAATGATGGAAGCCGATACGCAAAATATTTTTTATAAGTGGAAATGGAAGTTGAAACTAAGACGGGAAAACAAAAATGTAGGGATATTAACCCTCGCCCTGGCAGGGGGGGGGTCGATGCGACCCCCCCCCCCTAAGGTTTTTCGAAGATAGCGTAAAAACGGCGGCGCGCAGCGCCGCCAAATTTGGCACAGCCTATGGGGCAACCTTTTTACATATGACCTGAAAATTTCAGGTCCGGGTGACCTTGGGTCAGGTCACCAGGTCAGAAAAACCGGTACAAGGTCATGGTCAAATTTCAACTTTCTTTTTGCACCTGTACAACTCACAGTTTTCGACTGATTTCCTTCAAACTTTCAGGATGTGCTAAGTTCACCGAGTTGTATAACATATAGTTCGGGTTTTTTTGAGGTCACTGACCTGAGGTCAGTTAGAGGTCATTGCGTCGTAATGTTAAGCCTATGGGAAAATACTAAATTCGGAAAATACTGGAGATATCCGCTTCGTTCTATCACTTTTGTGCTTTGAAACCACAGTACTTAACAGCAGGTCACTTGGCGCTTCTTTGTTTGGTGTACTTATCCATGGGTCAGGTCAAATGAGGTCAACTGAGGTCAAATCACATTTTTTCCAATAACTTGGCACATAATGACGCTAGAGCTTAAAAAATGGTGTCATTGTGTTCCTGGTGATCAGCCGAATCGAATGATATGCGATATGATGCAATTTGGTTAATTTTAACTTAATTAGTTAATTAAAGTTTACTTAAAAATTAAGAAAAACTTTAAGCACACTGAAGCAAGCTAAAAAGTATATCATTCGACGCGCCTTGACGTGCTGAGTTCACTGGTGCCTTTCTTTTTGCTCTATCTTAATTAGATCAAAAGTTATAAGCGAAAAACTTTTGACCTGTTTTTAGCGAAATTTTTACATTTATACCCCCCAAAACCCCCCTAAATATTGACCTAGAACAACCAAATTTGCACAGGGGCGAGAACTCTATGGGGCCCACCTACCTACCAAATTTGGTGTTTCTAGGTGCCATAGGAGCCAATCGCGAGGGGGGGGGGGGTCGCATCGACCCCCCCCCCTGCCAGGCCGTGTTATGAAAAAGGCCCTGCCAGGGCGAGGGTTAAAAAGACTGGCGCCTTGCCTATATAGCTTTAACCCTCGCCGGACCTATTGGTTTTCTACATACGCGCCGGCCGAGGGGGGGGGCGGGTACGACCCCCCCCCTCGCCGTTTCGCCCCTGGTGGAGCTAGCGCGTCGCGGAAAAAACGAGCGTGTGCGCCGTTACGAGACGCAGAGATTAGTACCCGATTTTAAGGTCCTAGGTCAACCGGTGACCTCTGAGGTCAGGTCAAGTGCCCCAGGGTACGGTTCAGTTTTTGGTGAATAACTTCGCAAAAAAAAAACGGCCGCAGAGCCGCGATTTTGGCAGCATCGTGTTCGCCTCACTCAGGCGCGTCGAATGATGTACTTTTTGTTCGGCGATAGGCGTTATCACAAGTGTATTCGCGGCCATTGGGGCGACGTAAGAAAAGAAGAAAACAACTGGCCCCAAGAACTTTAAATTATCAATTAGCATGCACCTTTTCCTTGATATGTAGAGAATTTACCATTAATTGTTAGAGAAAATTGCATTTAAAATCTTCCATTTATGCTTTTTTCATCGTTTGCACAGTATGTTCTTTTACTAAGCTAGAAACACTAATTAGAAATAGTTCCCGCATCATCAAGAACAATAGGGAAGGCTTGAAGTGAATACAATAACCTAAACGGTTTTGTAATCCATGTGAAGACACTTCTAAAATTGCCTGTAGAAATATTAAAGGCAAAAGTTCAACTTTTTCACAAGACGGATGGCTATAAACCTATTCAACGTGTGACAACTCAGCCGGTATATCGTCGCCTACAGCCCAGCTTTCCCTAGTGACCGATAGAGTCGCTGCTATCGATGTCCGCCCGTGCCGCCTAACGGGTCAGGTCAACTTGGGGTGTTGACCTCAGGTCAAGGTCAGGTCAGCATCCCCAGGTCACGAAGTTGGTCGAAAGAGGTCATGTCGCATATCATTCGATTTGGCAGGTCTTCCTGAGTCCATTGGTGGCTTACTCGACTCGCTAGCTCAATTTGATCGGGAGTTATTGACGAAAAACTAATATGACCTTGATGACGACTTAAATGACGTCACGGAAGGTCAACATTGCAAAAGTGACGCAACTAACCTTGCAAGGAGTGCATCAAATCACGATTCTGTGTGCTTGAGATAGTTGGAGATCGTTCCCGGCGCCAGAATAGCAGTTTTCATTTTTTCCCATTGACTTATAATGGTGAGGTCACGAAAGTGACCTGACCTCATATGACCTTTAGGAAAAATCCGAGAGATACACTCAGTTGTGAGACTCATAATGGATACTAGATCCTGCAAGTTTCATTTCCCTGTGACATCTCCTCTGGCAGTGAGGGCGTTGCGAAGTTGCGACATCTGAAGACCGTGCAGAGTTTCACTTATGACGTCATAGGTCAGTGACCTGACCTGACCCAAAAATGCGGTTGGTGTCAAAAGATGCGGCCTGGATCAAAGGTCAGATATGCCAAGTTTCAGCTCTCTATCGCCAGCGTGTTCGGAGCTATCGCGAAAAAACCCTATGGGGGAGGCGGCACCCGCCCCCCCCCCCCCCTCGGCCGGCGAGGGTTAAACCACCGACACCGCTTAATCCGCGCTCTAATCTGACCCTACCTGAAAATTTATGGGTGTGAATATACCGTTCCAAAGATACCGTCCATGATTGTTGTCTCGAACCAGACTGAGGATATGCAAGGCACGAACTGTGCTTGCATCAATCATGAGAGGCTGCGTACGCTTTGAAGACAAGCCACGTAAATGCTGATGATCCCATAATCCTCCATTCGTGACCTCGGAAACCCTGAGATGAATGCCCCAGCACGGCACTTATTACATAATTCCTATAAGATCGTAGGCTGTACGAAACAGGTGCTTATGTAACATACTTTGAACTGTCACGCTATTCAACTCCTTTGGCTAATGCGCGTTTCGTTTCTTCCACTGCTGCAGCGTCTTGATCATTGAAGTAAAGACTAAAAATAATTGTAAACTTTGATGTCATATGTTTAATTGTGAATTGTTTGTAACGTTTTTTTAGCATGATCATAATTATACTAAGAATGAATAATAGCATTTTGCTAATAACTAAAGAAAGTAAAGAAACATAACTTTGGATTTGTTTTTGGCGTCTTTTAGTTATGAGCAAAAGCTTATTATTCATTCTTGCTACATTGTAGTCACATATAGCTAAAAATTCATCTTCGGATATTGCCAGCAACTATCAACAGTCCGATCACCCAAGACGACACCTAACAATTCAGGATGCCGAAAAGCATAGAAGATTGAGCCCATTCTTGCGTGATCCTTGTCCGTAATGTATTTGTCAACTTTAA